AGAACTATGTAAATTTTAAACCAACTGCATTTGCCTCCCCTCTTTGGCTCCATGTTCAAGAACAGCTTTTGAAATAAGATAATGCTGAGCTCAGTAACTGAGCAGCAAATTAACACTGCTTTTGGAGACCTGAAATGGAAAAAAACCCAAGGCAAGCTTATCTCTAGTTCTGTGTCAAAAGTCCAAGCCTAGACTCAGTTGGAAGAATTCCCACAAAAAGGCTTCAGCTGTTTTTACATGCTACTTTTAAAGAATATGCCATTTCACACCTTTTAAAAGTGTATTTTAATACAACTTCTACATATTGCCAATTTGTGGGTCTGCTTTTTAATATAACAGTTAGACATTTGCTGTGTCTGTGGAAGCAGCAGATAACAAAATGTTCGAGGACATTTCCAGGAAAATATTTACAAATGTGAAGATACAGAAGAACATACGATTATCTTAACATTTTTGGATCAATCATTAGCAAACATTCCTATTTTTCTTTCTTTGGATTTAAACTTAAGTCCCCTTTTTTAATAACTTGACCAAGCAGATGTCTCAAATGTATAACGTGTAACAGATACACAACTTTATGCATTTGGAAGTTACCTACTTGCCTTCATCATCCACAGTAAAAGACTCAGGACCTTTCAGCTGTCCTGTGAAGATACTTCGTCCACTCTGAAGCTTTTCATTCACTTGCAATGATCCAACTAAAGCTGGAGGTAGGTTTTTAAAACTGCACCAAATAAATTATAAATAAGATATAAGAAACAATACAACATCAGACTATAAATTTATTTGAAGAGAAAGTAAAAGGATTTTATTCCAGAGATATTAACGAGGTATTATTTTTTTTAATAGTTTGTTTAAACTGTAGCTATTTGTTAAAAGTTACTTCAATCTAGTTTAACAACTCTGTGGAGCTTGCAGGCTCTGCTAAAAAGAATACAGATTTCTTAAGAACTGTTTGGTTGGTGTTTTGTTTCTGAACTCAATACAAACACCAACTGCCATAATTCCAGACAGTTTTAGTCCTTATCATTAGTCTGAGATCTACTAACAATCTGTCTACATACATGTAACAAATACTGCCCTGGTCAGCATTGTTTTGCTTGAAATTCACTTGTTTAAAAAGGTGCTTCCATTTTTCAGTTTTATAGGAGAAACACAATTTCTCCTGCATGTGAACTTAAGTGGCTTGCTTTGTTTGCTCCCGCAGGATGAAAAGCACAGGAAAAGTTTTGAAAGCACAAGTATTTCCCAACAAACACAAGTACACTATTGACCTTCAAAATGAAGCAAGGGAATGTACGTGAACGGCTCTGGATCAATAGGAGATGGTAAAAAGTAAATACTAGTGAAGGTAGCAAGGACTGCAGCTGGAAATCCCCATGCTGGGAACCTGGGAAGAAAAAAAACAACCAACTGTATACCCATGCACATCCCGGAGGGTGGGAGGGGAGTAAGTTTTTTTCCAAAAGTTAAAAACTTTCAGTGCTAAAAAACAAGACTAAAAGAGGACAGAGGAGACTGCAACCTGGTGCTCCCTTCCATGGAGAGGGGTGGCCCAGCTGCTCCATGGGCAGCACTGCCATCCTGCTCTGTGTCTGCACTGGAGCAACTCTGGTCTCCAGACAGGTGATCCAGCCCCTGAACCAGCCAAAACCCACAAGGTTTCTTTTACTGAATTATATTTCTAGTAGTACATAACTGCTGTAGGCAGACACACAAGACCAGTTACTTACACGGTGAGCAACTTTGCTGAGTCTAGTATCTTTTTACCAACCTTACCCTGAGTATTGCAATATTTGCTGTTAATGGGTTTTACCAAGTGCAGACATAGTCATGAGTTGGTTGTTGCACATACAAAGCTATGGGGTCCCAAACCACTACCACCTCCTCCGCTTCAGGGCCACAAAGCCCACAGAAGAGGATGAGAGAGACCAAAGCCAACAGCAAAGTAGCTCTGTTCTACCAGTTCCATGGGGATGACTGTTTTTAAGAAACACCAAACACAAAAGCCAGAAAATTAAATATACACGTTTTCAGATAAAACCATTAAAAAGCCTTTCAGGCATTTCCTGAGGAGGAAAGAGCTGGGTCTCACCTCCAGCCCAGAACACTTCCTCACTGTATTTGCCTCGTGTTTTTGCAAGAGATTTTTTGGGGTTTTTTTTTAATAGCCCATGGGCTATCTTACCCAACCCAGGTGGGACAGGACCCACTACGAGCCCGCGGCTCAGCTCCCTTCATGGCGGAGGCGGCGCCGTGAGAGGGGAGGTAAGCCCCGCTCCGCCCCCGCCCGCAGTCTTCGTGAGATAAAAAACATGGCGAGCTGGCTGCCCTCGGCACTCTCCGCTTCCCGTCCGGGAGAGACCTCTTCTCACACATCGCCACCATCGCCCTTCTCCCTCCCACGGAGCCCAGCGCTTACATGGCGACACGGCGGCGGGCCCCACGCCTCGGAGGACGGATCGGCCGTGGGCAGGCCGCCCGCCCTCCTCAGGGAGGAGGCAGCGCCGGCGGCGGGAATTGCTCCCCTCAGCACCGCCCGGGCGGGAAACGGGAGCGGCTTCTTGTCCGCCGCTCCGGAGGAGGGTGTGAGGTAAATGTAGGAAAGAAAATGGTAAATTTCAAGGTATATGTGCAAATTTAAAAGTATTTTTGTTGTTTGTTTGGCGTTTTTTTGTTGGGTTTTTTCCTTCTTGTATTATAAGAAAATAGGTTTGTGTTCGTTTTCCTGTATTATTCTTCTTCACCAAAATCGGGAAATAAGTTTTTATATATATATATACACACACATACATACACACACACACACATACACACAAAACAAAAAACCAAAAACCCACCAACCAAGTATGACACAACACACGCACTGAAAAGTACCTGTTGTTCCAGGCAAACCTTAACTTACGCTTAAGGCAAGCTGTTATCTCCCCACACAATTTATTGCTATAAGGAAGTTTCATTCAGCATCAAAGTGATCACAACTTGAGCTCCAGGTAATAGAAAAAAATAAACACACATCACATCACTAAGTATTGCCAACTTCAACTTTAATAATGGAACCATCACTTTTTTTGCCATTTCAGTAATAACTTTAAGGGGAATAAAAACTTCCCTACAAAAATAAAACTAAGCTTGTCAAAATTATAAATAGTTTAAATGTTTGTTTTTAAAGACATACAATTTAATGTTTCCCTGCATTCCCCCCCACCCATATCATTTAATCATTCTGGTACCATCATATAATGAAATATGAAAACAGTTTTACAACAAAAGCTTTGACAGTTCAATTTGATGCTAAAATTGAAAACGGAAAAACTGACTAAGCATGACCATTTCTTTTAAATTAAAGCTGCTGCAATTGCCAGTGTGTAAAAAAATTAGCCCCCCCCACGACACCTTAACAATAATTAACCGTGAACTAAGACAAAATTAAAATAGAAGTTTATTTTGGTCCCCCACCCCCACCCCCTTCACCCCAAATCAAGACTCATAGTGCATACAACACTGATTGAGGTTTTTGGCTAAAGTAAATGCAGATGTGCCTACTTAAAAGACTGATAGTTCAGTTCAAGTAAAAACAAAATTCACATATTTTTATACTCCACTTCTAGACTCAAACAGTGTTTAAATCTGAGCAACAAATGGTTCGATATTGACAGCGATTATGTAATGATTACATAGTTATGGGCAGATACGTAAATAAAGTAGATGTTAACAGAATACCCACCAACATGCTGCTGCATTCATAGAAAAACAAGTTTTAACAAAACATAAAAGCATTCCCTGAACCATTATAAAGTGTCTCACTTGAGGATAACGTTACTAAGTCACACATGCACTACAATGTTACATGTGAAATTAAAAAACAAACAGGTTATGCCTTATATATACTTTATAGTTAGTCCTACTCTTAATTTCTCTTAACACTTTAAAACATTATGATTGTCTCATTAAGTTCGCAAATTCTTTTTACCAAAAAGTCCTGTGAAGAGTTTAAAAACAAACAAAGTCCTACTAAGGAAAGGAAACAAAGGCACAATGACATCAAATTAAGGGGAAGAACAGAAGCATCTTGGAGTGTCACACAGTATCCATTAGATGTCACCAAAGTTTTAACAATTCCTTGGGAATTTAAAACAAACACCCTGCGAGCAGAGGGAAAAAAAAAATCCCAGCAACTTCTGCTGCTCTTAAATCATTAGTACCTCCACCCCCCACCTCCCAACATATAACTCATTTCCTCTCTGGCATTATAATGACTAAAGTATCAGTTACTCAAATCTGCCTCATGCTTCTATTGCACACCCACTTCTTTGGTTTCTTTTGAACGTGCTTTTTTAGATAAATAACTCTGAAAGAACAACAACTATATTTACAGTAAAGTAAAAAGTTTCTTGCTACATTTTTCCTACTTTAAATCAAGTAAATCAGCAGTCTTCAGAATTTGGTAAACCAGTTTTTCAATTAAGAATTTAAAAACCGTAAGGAGAAAACCTTCTGAATTACCAAAAATTAAGCTCAGTCACCAACAGAGCCAATAAATGTAAATTTTCTGTTAAGTTGGAAACATGAATAAGAAATTCTACTTTCTTTGCCTGACTGAGCCTTTAACAAACAAAGAAGCAGAGGAAGCTATTTTTGTCTTTCAGATATGACAATTTAAAATTATCCAGCCTAAAATGGATCGCTGAGACAGAGGAAAAATCTGACTTACAATGAAGACCAAATGCATCTGCAGTTATAGCTTATGTCTAAGCACTCACTAGCTGAGCATTTCTCACAGAGTTATCCGAGACTACTTATCGTCCCCTTCTCAGAATTCAAGTAAGCAGCCACCTTTTAGCTTCGCTGCACTTCTCAACCCCCTGTTACACATTTATGGAACCAGCTTCTCCAATTACGATTTGTACGTGCAGCTCCCTTTCCATTCTTATTTAGCTTTTGCCTCTCATTCTTTCCCACTATTTCTATTATCTTTATTTCTTTTCCAGTGTGGATTTATGCAGTTAAAAAAACATAAAACTTATTCACAATATTATAACATCCTAAAACTTTAATCTTGTAGAATTACTATTTCAATTTTCCTCTGTATAAATACTATTTCCATTTAAAACCAGCTCTCCTGTCATCTATTAGAGTTCTCCTCGCTCACCTCTTGCCTTCTTTTCAACTTCCTCTTTACCCTCTCTCCAGAAAGAGCACTTTAAAGCCTTCCACAAATTTCACAGAACAAACCACAGGATCTCATATGCCTTCCATCTCTAACGGTTCTCTCACAAATTATACAGTAACTATTGGAAAACAGAAAGGTAGTGCAAATCAATTTAATCTCAAAGATAGTGCTCCAACTAATTCTTGTCTCGACAGTTTAATTCATCTTTTAACCCACCAATTTGCACATCCTTACTTGTAAAGCTACCATTAAAGCAAAGAAGAAAAAAAAAATAAAATCTTCATTCATAGCATCCTAGAAAACTGATTACAGTTTCACGGCTTGCACCAAGGTAACTTGGAAAACTCTCTAGGCACGCGGAGGGTTGCAAACTGATGCACGAACATGCAGAATCCCTTACTTGTGGGTGCAAGACGCTAAGTGACCTGGTTTACGGAACTAAGTCTATAGCAAAATTCAGGTACCCTGGCATCACAAAACAGTCTTCTGAATAAAGAAAACTACTCTCTGCTGCTCTTTGTATGTTGGGTTTGGCATGCTATACTGACATTTGGTAGCGTGCATTTTCCTGAGTGTCCTTTGGCCCCCTTTTAACCAGGTTTCCACACCCCGCCAAGGGCTTCTTCAAGTTTGTCTCTGTAAGCTGCGTAACGCTTCTTTAAGATTTGCAGTTGCTCATTTTCCTCTTTGTCCAGTATACGCAAGAAGTTTTGCAGTTCAGGAATAGTAAAAGCTTCCCACTGGAAAAAGAGAAAAGGATGGACAAGATGAACAGAAAATACACAAACAATTTATAGATACACTATTTTTAAACAAAACCTCAGACGCTCAAAACAATTTTAAGCTGAAACAGTACTGGGCATCTTCCTTGCAAATCTTAGGGATCTGAAAACACTTTACTATTTAAAACTGTTTTTTAGTCTGCAAGTAACAACAGGTCAATCCAACCACAAACAAAATGTTTGCAAAAAGCACAAAGTAAATATCAAAAGAAAAAAAAAAATCTGCTTCCAAAAAATGGATCATCTCGTCAACACGGATCAAACAGGAGCCCACTCATCCATGAAGTTACACACGCAAAGCCAGCAGGAGTGTAACATACCATGACTTCTCCAGTTTCATGCTCACGTAGAACAAAACTGAGCATTTCTGTTCTGGGGCCTGCCACCAAACGCAAGTAGAGGGGATGTTCTCGGTCTGACAGCTTGCATGTATAAACTGCAGAAGAAGAAAATCACAGTAATTATCATTTTTAGTAATGATGTTTCATATGCTTTGAATGATTAATGCTAGCTAATGTCAGAAAATTTCAGAGATAGGCATGTGTAGCCACAAAATTTACACATTCTACATATTAGTCTACATACTGGTTTTGAGCAAATGAGTTTTAGGGAGAGGCTGAGGATGACTGATGGTAACAGTGCAACATCACATTCACATAGGAATGAAATGTCCTCCAGTCAACACAGTACACCATCTGAATACATGCAGGGGGGAAAAACACAACACAGATCTGTTGCTATAACTAAGCATCTGAGACATCAGAGCTGCAGTATCACCATTCTGATACCTTTCCACTGAAAATCTCATACACAAAGTCTACGAGACAACTCCGCCTGCCTGACACGGTTGGCGCGGCTGACAGCCAGCAACATCTGAACTTCTGAAACTGCTCTCAACGTCCATGGAAGAAGGCAGATTCTAAGTGCAAGAACACAGCGTTGGCAAAACGCGCTTTTCACTAAAAATACCTTTTGCTTCTCTGGTACTTCCAAACACAACAGACACCACACTTGTAACAGCAGTCAGCGCACTGGGAGAGCCACGTGCACGAGTTAACACACATGAACACAGTGCATGTGTCCATGGTGCTCGTCACCTCAAGAGCTGTCAGCCGATTCAGGGACTTTAAGTATCATGAACACCATGGTTTCTTTTTTCAAAAATCTGCCCTGCAACTTAATCTCAAAAATCTGCAGTATATCAGGCTAGATGATAGGGGGGTATATTAAATAACACATAACAGATTGCGAGGCACAGGAGATCTGTGTAGCTGGTTTAATAGGTTACTTGATCTTTTGTGAATTATCCTGAATACCCCCAAGTCATTTACTGTCTTACACATGCTGCTTTTCACAAAAAGACAAGACAGACCAAAACTGTCACCTCCATTTACCTGGGTTCTTCCACCCTGCTTATTTCAAGTATTTCTATAGCACAACTCCCTCCCCAAACTCCTTCACTACCAAAACCCTAACTTATACCTTGGTCTTCCTTGTGACAGCGTTTATAAAGTGCAAACTTCGCAGGGTTGTCAGCCACCAGAAACTTTCTGAGCAAGGCCTCAATAACTTCACGCACAGTATTGGTGCTGCTGATGTGGAGGGTATTCACGCAGCCATCGGGCAAGTAAAAAGCAGTTTCGTTATTGGCGTGAGCGCTCCTCCCCTGGCTCTGGGAAGACTGCACAGTGATGGGTCTGCATAGTTCCATCTGAACTTTGATGAAGCCAGTGTAAATCCCATTCGCGTTCTGCAACAGGAGGAAAACATCGAACTCTTAAAATCAGCCATGACAAGGTGTGACATACTGGTGGAGTGGGCAGACCAAAATGGTCACAGTGAACACAATTTCAGTACCACTGTAATACGTGATGTCTCATAGGGAAGATACTGTTTCAATCACTCAGACATTTAGTCTCTCTGGTATTTTCTGCTGAATCTTAATCTTTTTCTTAATTAGAACTACTGAATTCTGTGACTATTAGGATCTCTTCAAGCAAAAGGCACTACAAACCAGTGGTAAGTTTTCACATTAGGAAACAATTACAGAGTGAAATAGACCACTAACACACATCTCTAACAATACATTTTATGCACAAATACAGAAATTATCTCCCATGTATTAGCTGTGCTTGTCGAACTAGTCTAAGGCATTTAGATGCTCAAACCCTGTTGCAATTCAAAAAGAACCAGAATAAATGCCAATCTAATCAACATTTCAAATTATTTATTTCAGTTGCTTCTGAAAGATAAGATAGTAAAATTGTTCAAACCTTGCCGAGCTAGAAAACTTTAGGCAATCTGGGTTTAGGCACAGTAAGTCCCAACCCACGTGCAAACACACAAATCTTTTTAGTACGCAGTCGTACTTATATGGCTTAGGATATAATGGAATTTCAAAATTTCCCTCTACTGTACACCCACAGGAATACATAGTATTATCAGAAAAACGTGGAAAATGCAACAACTGAATAACAGCTTGCTAGGCAGAGAGATGTGAATTTTGTTCGTATGGTCTGCAGCAGCCCGGACTGAGTCTTAGACCTGCTCCCTAACCCTTGGAAATGAAGTATCTCCATGCATTGCATTGTCTGTGGTGTCTGCGTTATGGTGGTAGGGGTGCAAAGGAAGCCTCCTCATGCTGAAAACCTTTATGACTACAAACTAGGACTCCCATAATAAATATTGCATGTTTCAACTTTTCTCATTGGTTGAGCATCTGTATCAGACAGATGCTTGACAAAAATTCCTACATAAACAGGATAAATATATCTTCATCTTTACCAGCTGAGGGTTTTCATCTAACAAATTTACATCTTAGTGTCAACTGAGAGTTTATCTTAAACACATTTCAAATGACATTTTTCTACTAGTTTGTTTTAATTCATGTAAAGAGAACTATGTGGATAAAGACATTTCAGACGCGAGATTTAATTTCCAGATCTAAAAAAGAGCCTCTTACAAAGCCATTAAAACAGACAGTTACATATATAACATGCTGAGACAAAAATGGTTCACAATGCACTACAAAGTTACAGTTCAATTGCTCCCATTAAAAAATACAGGAATCCTATGCAAAACTTACCAAGGTCATCTTTAATTTATCAGTGACAGATGAATTATAGCTTTGTATCTTCTCTTTAACTTCTTCTTTACTGAGATAAACATGAGGTTCTCTCTCCTTCTGAACATCCTTCAAAAACAACAGACAGCAGTTTTAGAAAACAAAGTAAAAAACAACTCTCTTACGACTTTGGATAGGAGCATTCTTAGTCCAAATGGTAATTATTCTGCAGAGGCTCAACATTCAGTAATCAGCTATACAGCAATAGAAAGGATTAACGACTTAGGCAAGTCAAACAGAACACTTGGATTGAATGGAGAGGTTACATCAACACACCCAAAGACACTTGTGTCCTTTTTTTGCCAACTGTTCTCATTCAAATATTCATCAGCAGTGTATAAATAAAACAGCTCGGCTCATTTCATGGCTTCACGTGCTCATGTCAATGCTAAGCAATATTGTGAAGAATACAGTTGCAATTTTCATGAAATACTACTCGGGGCAAAAAATTGGTATTTCTAAACAAATTAAGAAAATACATGGAAAGAGCAGCACGTACCAACCAGTAACACCAATGAACCCTGTGTGTGCCAGCAACGTGGGACCATCCCAGCATTCTGAGGTGACAGCCAGCTGTTACGTGCAAGGGTCACTGATCGCTAGCGGAACCACCACAAGTATCTCTAGCTGTATAGTGTTACACTGAACTCGTGTTTTTCCACCGGGAAGGCCCTATTAGATTTTTCAACCACTGCTTTTACAAGCTTGCTACGGATCTTACATGCAGCAGTAAAACCAGTCCCTGGAGTTGGATTTTATCCAAACGAACATTTGTTCCCAATCCGTATTCCTGCAGCAAACCAGCGTTATAAATACACTCCGGTTTCCACTGCTTGCACAAATGCCATATATAGTACAAAAACGTTTCAGCTCTCAGCTTTAATGATTTAACACTTCACTTAGAAAGGGAGAAGCTTTGAAGAAGCCTGCAGCTTTCAGGGTACATCTGGACACAGGAACATACATTCACTGTACGGACAAACCGCCAACGCACAGCGTTTCGATCTGTCCTCACAAGCACATCCCAGCAGAGCTGATCCTAAGAGAGGATTTCCCGGACTTCAGTGGCCAGTCCTGTATCACAGCCTTTTGGACACACCACTCTGCATACACCTCTGTAGGCACTTCAGTTTGCCAGAAACAACCCCAAAGAGGAGCACATCTGGTGTGGAACTCGTAAGTTTCCATCTGCCAGAAAAGGTCTGCAGAAGTTTTTCTGTCTCCTAATTTAAAACCAGCTAGTTTTAGCTCTTCAGGTCTTAGTTTTGCTTTTCCTATATGGTATTTTACTAAATGACATGCTGGAGCAGACTTTTTTCCCATAGCTATAAAAAGAAAGGTGTGGTCTGAGTAGAGATCTGGAAGCCAGAAGCCTTGAGTTCTGATCTGGGCTCAGATACTGATTTCACAGAGAAAATACCTTTATTTCACAGATCAGGAAACCGAGGCAAAAAGGACCACCAGCCACATACAACACTCCTGTTAGCTCCTTGAGCACAACTCTAAGATTGTGTAGCATCTTGCACAGTTGCCAGACCCTACCTAATCTACTACAAAATACCAAATGACTAAATGCTTTCAGAACCCAGGTCTTCATTCTCACTACAGAAATCAAGCTTTCCTGCCCTTCTATTTTTCATCTTGCCCCTCCTCTGAACTGCCACAATAATGAGAGATACAACTTCATCTAAACTTCTCGCTTCATCTCCCCAGAAGCCCTTACAGGTTTGTAGTGTCCTATCTGGGGGCAAACGAATGAGTTATAAAACAAAGCAGGCAAAGAAATAAATAATAAAAAACCCAACAAAACACCCCCCCCCCAAAAAAAAATAGTAAATGTTATTGCTGTTTTCACACTTATTTTAAGTGTGAAAAGCAAGGAGCCATAGTCAGAGTCTGGAAATAAGGGCACTCTAAATGTTGACTTCAAAAAATGTTGTGGGAATGGGCAAAGACAACCTTAGTGGGGGATACTGAAGGGACAGGGCACAGTCTGCAGCCCTCTGAGCATAAAGGCTTGACAGAGCATTTACCAATATATGACTGATTTCAAGAACCCAAAATTTAACATGGAACGTTCCCAGTCCGTGTAGCTGCAGACAAGGCCCTTCACGTGGATACCAACCAAGGCTCATCTCTCATAGGAGCATGTTGTAGAGTTCGTACCTCTCCAATCTGCTAACACTGAAGTTCCAGTAATGGGCACCACATTTTAATATTTATCATTATTCCACTGCTGATTGTTCAGGCAGGAACCTCTCATCCACCTTGTTGGAGGTGACTGTCACCACGGTTACTGAAGTCATCCACAGTATCTATTATCATCAAGAGAAAACACTAACCAGAAAAGAAGAACACGCTCACCACTTTTCCTATGTTTAACCCTGCTTGAACACGCTATACAGTTTTTCTCTGACACTCCTGGAGCTGAACTGCTCTCAGTATGCAGCAGCACTTAACTTTTGCCATACAGCTTTGTCTAGCCATGCTTTAAGATAAATGAGTCTCTTTTGACAAGCATACTTAGGTGAATGGAGAAAGACTTGGCAAACTCTCATTTCCCACAGTTCTCTTATTTCCTTCTGTACTTGTCACCTCGTAACAGGATCCACTAAAGGAAAAGTCCTCTGCTAACTCTACTTAAGTCCAGCAGATCAAATTCCACTTTCTAATCACAGCAGGTCAATGTATTACCTGCAGAAGACCTTGAGTGATCCAACACAACAGCAGAAATTAACTCATCTCTACTATGCTTTACAATCTGCTTCTGTGGCACCGCTCTGAAATGCCACCAAGTGGCTGAAGCCACATGTGCTCAGGGTGAGATGACTGGGAAAGGCATTACTCCAACCTCAACTGTTTCAAACAAAGGAGCAAGGGCATTTCAGAGATGAGATTCAGATGCTACAGCCAGGTATGTCTATCACTGGTGCCTGTGGCAGTTCTGCCTGGTCTGGTGAGAGGAGAAACCAGTCTGTGCCACCTGGTGGCTCACCCAGCCTAGGACAAAAGCTCTGTGCTCTCCAGGCACAGCTCCTCAAAGCCAGCGCACTGTGGAGGTGCAAGGGGTAGTGTGCTCCAGCCAGACAACTCATCTCCAGGCCAATCCAGACACAGCTGATTCACCTCCAGCTATCCACAAAAACGCCCAGCGTGCACACCTCACAAAATTTGTATGCTGGGAATTGTGAAACTGTCTGTCTTCAAAAGCTGCACCTGGTGATGGGTTTCCTAACCACAGATCCTTGCATTTGTCACAGCAGAGGGTGAGGTACAAGTGAGTCAGCAGAGCAGTTCACACTGTGTCTTCTCCTGTCAGCCAAGACCTAGATGCTGCTGGGCTTACCAATGGCACTTTGGGGTGGTAGTGCGCAAAAAAAGCAGTTTTGTCTATAAAACAGTACACAAACACTTTGATATTATTTTCATAAGGAAAAAAAAAAATCAAACCTGATTTGGGTGTGACTCCTCCATCACTTAACCAAATGACAGTCTCAGCAATGGCTGCTACGTCATCACTCCTCCCTCCTCCCAGCCCAATTAACTGTGTTTTCCTCATCAGGACTCCTGGTCTCCTTCCAGTCCCTGCTTCTCATGTTATCTGTGACTTCCTCAGCCCAAGCACAGATGTGAAAGATAAAAACTAATCTCAAGGAGACAGTTGGATGCATCAGAACCCATATAGATGATGTCTCTGGGTCCAAAACATTACTTTTAATCCAAGCTATTAACTTCTGTGAAACTCGTGCTGTCCTTCCCAACACTTAGAGCACACACCATTGGTGACCATTTGTACTAAAGCCATTCCTCGGGTCAACCAAAGCAGCATTTCATCCTCAAATGAAATTCCTACGCAACAGCTGCCAGCAAGAGGGAAATGAGGCAAGTGCTTTCATTTCCCCAAGGGGAATAGCTTGTCTTTCATTAGAGCTCATGATGCAATACCTCTTCACAGTTGAACTTCCTCTCAACAAAAAGGGCTGAAAAATGTTTTTTTTCCTTTATCGCCTCCACCCCCCATGCACATCTCATTTGTTGTATTGCAGATGTTTAGAGAAACGGCTTTTTTAACATCCATGCCCAGCGCAAAGGCCCCCATAGACCAGTTCAGCATGAATCCTCAAGGAATACAACTAAAACTGCACAGATTACAATTAAAATGAACTGCAGATCAAGCTGTGGTCCCCAAAAAGAAGAATCACATCACATCTGGGACTTTCATAAAGTCCCAGTCCCACGGTTACTGCCAAATCCTAGTCCTGCATGCAGTAAGGAAGCGCTAAGCTCAACAGCTAGTGAGCTGCTATGGGATGAGGCTTAACAAAGTTCCACAAAGAAAGAAAACCCCAAAATCCTGAAGCCTGTTTCCTCAGGATCCTTGCCTTGAGACAGATACATGGCTTCCAAGAACTGCTGCTACAGGCTTTCATTTACTGGGGGATACAAGAAGGTCTCTCTCTTCTATAGCTAATCTCCTATATTCACAGAACTTCTAAAAATTGGCATCTCTTGAGGAATGGGGAATCAAGCTCCTCTTAATATTTCAGCTTGACAGACAAAGGAAAATACAATGGACAAAAGGTTAACCTATCCCAGGAACATACTGAAGTATTTTCAGAAGAAATCTAAAGAATCAGAGAACTGTGGGACCTCGAGCCAACCCTTAAGCCATGTCAGTCCCCATCTACTGCCCTCATATATCATATTAATGCCACACAATCAGATTAATGAAGATGCCCTGATCTTGCTGTAACTTGTGGCCAGGAATAATTTTTGAAGTAAAGCACTGAGGCTTTGACAAATGAGAAATGCTGCCTTATCTACCTCTAAGAAAGAAATTTTAAAAAAATGAAAATCTAAGTTTTGTTTAGTCATAAAAAAATTGTAGTTAATGCATCCTACTTACATGATATTTGCATTAAAGAAAGGATTTAACTAACACTGCTATCATACAACAAAAAAGCCCAGCAGAGAATACAGAATGGAAAACAGAGAGAAAGGGACTTCTGATCTCAGCCACTGCTATTTCGACAAGCAAGAACACTTTCTTTCCTACAGCCTGCCAGCAT